CAGAGCGTAGCGAGGGCCCCGCCGAGGTAATACGGCACGTGCTCTACGGTTACTTCAGCCAGCGCAGTGGCCTTCTAGTGTATATGGAGGACTCACACCTTACGCGGGTCCACTCCACCGATGATGATGATGCCGTGTATTGGGAGACGACAATTGGGAGCGGCATTGGTGAGTATCGTGACGTGGACGGCGTCCTTATTGCCCATGGAGGGCGCACGGTGGCCACCGTGTTCCGATTTGGGGAGACGTCGGCCGAGCACACGAGGACACGGATGGAGGAGGTGTGGCGGATACGTGACGTTGTGTTTGATGTGCCGGGGCTTTCAGGGGACTCCTTTATACCGCCCGCGGATGTATTTCACCCGCCCCCAACTACTGTGTCCCCCTGATTTCTATTTTTTTTTTTTTTCCTTCTACTGATGTTATAGTGTTATGGATTTCGTAAATTGGGTATGAAGTTAATGGAGGGGAATGAATACTAATGTAATGTAAATGGGTGTTGCTAATTTTCTTTCTCTCCCTTTGATGACGATTACACGTTATTAGAATTACTCTAAGCAGAGAAGAGATATATACCCTATTTGAAGGCTGCTGAGATTATTATCATTCACAAACATTCGAGCTTCGATTGAGAGTTCAAGTTTTTTTTAGTTTCATGACTTTGGTGGACTTTTTGAGACTTTCAGAGAATTTTCATTAGTGACTTTTCAAGACTTTCATAATGGACTTTTTAAAACTTATTGAGACTTTTATATACTTGCAGTTATAATATTATGTTTGAATAAAATGTTAATAAACGTAACATAATAAGCAATATAAACACGAATAAATGAAAAAAGATGTTGTATATATTAATCCTCTAAATTTTATGCGAAATGAGTTATTCACGAACAAATTGTTTAGGATTTTAAATTTATTAAACGAGTAAATCGATCAGCTTCAACGAGTCGAATTGAACAGGGTCTTATATTTGTTTGTTAAAAGAGTACAAACTCAAATATGTGCTAGATATCTCTGCTATAACGACACTTATAATCAACCCAAATTAAGATATATTTATTTAATTATTGATTGATTTTATTCAATATTTTTTTTGCATAATGTTGTTATATTAGAAAAATATTATTAGGATATATTTTTACAAGATACAAACATTGCCAAAAAACAGTAATTGTATCTTATAAAATTATCAAAAATATTCAAAACATTTCAATATTATCAAATAAACTATTAGAAAATAAAATAATTTTTTTAATATTTTGAAATAAACATTTACAAATAAAAAGAAAGAACAAATAAATTATTTGCAAGTGCAACTATGGAAGCATTAACCTTTGAAAAGTCAAATTCACAAGATAGCAAAATGAGAGAATAAAGGTATACACACATAAAATAAGCATAATAAAGAATATATAAAATAAAAAGATCACATTACGTAATGAAAATAAAAATTACACAAGGTATCAAAATAAATAAGTAAATAATAGAGAATGAAAATGATATTAGATACAAAGTCATGTTAGAAAGAAAAAAAACGAAAGAGAGCGTGAAAGAGTTACATAAGTCCAACAAAATCTCACAAATATTGATGAGATTTCTGTTGAGACTTTTCCTTTGTAATTTTGTTACAAAAGTCTCTAAAAGTCTCAAATTTAAAAAGTCTCACAAAGTCATTTTGTTTTGAATATCGGGTGACTTATAAAGACTCTCA